GAGACAAAGGGGGCTGTTATTTACCCCGAGTAAACTTCCCCCGGCCAGCCCGCGAGCGGGGCAGCACCCCCGGTTGTTGCCACGACCCCCCTCCCCAACTTGTTCAGAGTGATAAAACCGCATGTGATAACGAAAACCCTAAGATCATGTGACTCTTGCTGCTTGGAGCGCGGCAGAATGTGCGGTTTTGAGCCTTGGCTGTATTTACCGCGCCTCGTCGGTGCCTTGTGAAGTTGCTAAGAATAGTTTTGTTGGCCGTAGCGTCTGCCATCTTCAAGATGCGATTGTTTCATTGAAGAACAGGATTTGAAACTCCACAGCAAACCTCCAGGGAGAGCAGATCTCAGCACACCTTCAGAACCGTTCATTTAGTCACAGTCCAACTAATTGTTGGCGTCCTTAAACTTCCAGTGAACCATTTAAAGAGATTCTCCTTCCTTGTCTGGTATGTGCAAGGCCCTGGGTTCCAGCTCCAGTACCACTAACAAAACTGAAAAGAAAAACAACTGTAGCCTTTGCTCGGCAACACGCTTTGTTCTCTAAAGCCCAGCTTGCGATCCACCCGCATCTTAGAGAAATTCTTGGGATTTTCTTAAATGTAACCTATATCATTTTAGTGAGCTTCGTATGCAAAAAGTTAAGATAGATGGGAAAAAAGGTAGTTCGATGGCAATCGGCAGTTAGAGTGTGCTGGCCCTGAGAACTAAAGGTCCATTCCCTTTGCTTGCTTACCCTGCACGGCTGGAAACCCAACTGTAGCCCCCATCTGTTGCACTCCAGGGCTGCCCTAATTCACGTGTTCTCATGCACACAAAGATAATTAAAAAACAGTAGCTGACCAGGGATGCTGGTTAACACCTTTACACTCAGAATTGCTTGGTTAGGCTGGAGGATTGCTGTGAGTTTGAGGTCTGCCTAGACAATGAGACCAATTCTCAAAAAACAATCATTAGCAGGTAAGATTTGGAATAGAATGAGGGAGGCATGTTGTTTTTTTAATTAATTATTTAATTAGCTTTTCTAGACAGGGTTTCTCTGTATTGCCTTGGAGGCTATCCTGGCACTCGCTCTGTAGACCAGGCTGGCCTCGAACTCACAGAGATCCACCTGCCTCTGCCTCCCGAGTGCTGGGATTTAAGGCGTGCGCCACCAACACCGGGTGAGGGAGGCATTTTTAAGAACGGGATTAATGTGGATGTGTTACCCAAGTGCTGAACTTAATCATGTATGTAAATTATCTATGTATGTGTGCATGTATGCATGTGTGTGTGTGTGCTCGCATGTATGCACATACATGCACAAAGCTTTTCATAGCCCTGAAGAAAGTTCTAAGAATGTTTTTTTCCTAGCTGGGCGGTGGTGGTGCTCTCCTTTAATCCCAGCACTCTTGCGGCAGAGGCAGGTGGGATCTCTGAGTTCGAGGCCAGCCTGGTCTACAGAGCTACACAGAGAAACCCTGTCTTGAAAAATCTAAGAGAAAAGAATATTTTTTTCCTTTATCTAATAGTTCTGCGTGTGAGAAAAGGATGTATTTCCTTTATCTGGTAGTTCCATGTCTGAGAGAAAAGAATGTTTGTCTTTATCTAATAGTCCTGTGTGTGAGAGAAAAGAACTCTCAACTTACTACCTTTATCCCTTGCTCCCTATAAAGCTTGGGACTGGCCTTGAATCTGGGGTTCTCTGACTTCAGCCTTCCCAGTGATAGGATTTACCAGGCATGCTGGCCCAGGCCTCAAAGAGGTGACTCTTGTGGAAGGAGAGGATTGTGCCTGTTAGGGCACTATCTGGAGAAAAGTTTGGTTGTCATTAATTTGGGGGGAAAGCTGTGTTTCTGACATCTAGTGGGATGCTGGTGAACACCCTCAGTGTAGAGAAGACAGATCCTGGAATGGCTGTATGCCCTGCAACATGAACTGTTGGCTCTGTTCAGATTGTCGAAATTCCTGTTGGGCTTTGCAGTCTCCTAAAGAGCCTCCCTCATAGGTCACTTAAGTCAGTTCCCATTTCTTAAAAACAACAACAAAAGAAGCCAGGTGGTGGCGCACGCCTTTAATCCCAGCACTCGGGATGCAGAGGCAGGTGGATCTCTGTGACTTCGAGGCCAGCCTGGTCTCCAGAGTGAGTTCCAGAACAGCCTCCAAAGCCACAGAGAGACCGTGCACACATGTGACTATTTGTGTTGATGTAGAGGCCGGAGCAGGTTGAGTGTCCTCTGTTGCTACCTGTTTGAGGCAGGGTGTCTCTCTGAACTTGGGGCTCCACTAATCTCCCTGTCTTCCCTCCTTTCAGCAGCTGAGGTTGTAGGCAAGACTGGTCTGTAGGTGGATGCTGATAGGCAAACTCTGGTCCTTCCACTTGTGCAGGAGTGCTCCACCCCGGCCCTTTCTTAACAGAGCATGCACTGAGGGTTATGTGCAAAGGCCTGGCACATAGGAAATGCTCAGAAACTACTTGAGGCCAATGTTCCGTTTAAAACTTAACTGAAGGTCTCTCTTTCTTATCTGAAATTAGAATTGTAGCTAGTAAAGTATTAATAGTTAGCTCATATCTTTGGCAAGTGGGTAAAGATTATTCCTTTACTATTTTGTTTAGCTTTGTCTTGTTTTATAATTTCAAGTCTGTGTTGGTTGCCCTGACCATAAAACAAGCAGCTTTTTGTCTTCTCGGTGTATATTTTACTTCATGATTGACACCTTCAGCTATCTGAGCAACAACTCTCTTGATTGAGTCTCAGCAAACACTTGTTTGGTGGCATGTGTCTCGTGGCATGAGTCCTACCTAGTTCCTTGTCCTTTGATGAACTTAGTAAGTTCCTATGTGTGCTCTGGGAGGAGTTGCAGTTTTATGTATATGAAGGATGACACTTCAGGAGGGACCTCAATCTGAATTGGAGTTTGTGCATGGCTTTGTCTTTCTTGTGTTACAGTGCTGCGGTATGAAAGCTCAATGCTCGTGTGAGATACAGCCTTATGAGGGGGGGGGGGGATTGTAGTTAGGGCCTGGGAGGAAACAGTGACTTTTGACTTGTTCAGGGCTCCTGTGAAGAAGATGGCATACCCTGTATGTGATCTGTTTGACATTCAGTGTTTGTCTTTGGAGTAGACGGTATTTGTTTGCTGCCGTGTTTTTGTAGTTCAGTCCTCACTGTTAGTGTATGCGCTCATCTGTTTTAGCTAATAGAAATGTTTGTTTATCCTCAGTTTTGTTTGGATAGAGACCACTGGAAGGGATTCTGTGTGCTGGGCCAAGACATTGTGTTCCTTGCTTGACACTATCTGGCTTTTGAAAAGTGTAACATACACCCAGGGTTCTGCATAAATAATAAATTACCTTAATGACTGAATATCCATCTTGTGGAAACTGATCAGGGTAAGAGTATACATGTGAGAATGTGCCCAGACCCATTGGAGGCATTTGAAGGTTAGGCATGGGAAATCATTTTAATAAGGATTCTGGGTTTTGTTTATTTATTTATTTTAGTGTTTGTGTGTGTGTGCACCAGTGTGTATGTAGATGTCAGAGGACAGCTTGTGGAAGTTGACTCTCCTACCTTTTGGGTCATCAGAATTGCACTTAGTATGTCAGTCTTGGTGGCAAGTACCTTTACCTGCTGAGCCATCTCTTTGTGCCTTGTTCTGTTTTTTTACTATTATATAGTCTTTCTAGGATTTAATAACTTTAAAGGGGAAAAAAAAGCCTACAAAATACTAATTTTTATATTTCAGCTTTAATCAGAGTATTACAGCTATTAGTGTTTTGAATTATCTTTTCAAAAAAGTAGATTTTTAAGAAATTTTATGTGTCTGGGTGGTGGTGGTGCTCTCCTTTAATCACAGCACTTGGGAGGCAGAGGCAGGCGGATCTCTGAGTTCCAGTTATTGAAAAATAAAACAAAAAAATTATGTGTATGACTGTTTTGCCTGCATGTATGTATGTTTACCATGTACATGCCTGTTGTCCAAGGAGGTCAGAGGAGGGTGTCAGTCCCCTGGAACTCGAATTGTGGATGGTGTGAGCCACCATATGGGTGCTGGGACCTGAACTACAAGAGCAGCAAGTCCTCTCTCAACGGCTGAGCCATTGTTCCAGCCTCTAATTGAGTGATCTTATATAACTTATGTTCCTACATGTAATTAAGAAAACCATGACTCTCCTGCTGTTTTGTGACTTTTTGGGGGGAGGCATGGACAATTCTCTGTTTACCCTTGATAGGGCACCAATAAAGACTTCCAAGCAGGGCTAGCATGGTGAGCAAGTGGGTTTATTAAGTTATGGACAGATGGGCAGGCAGCTGTGTGGCTGAACAGACTTCCTAGCAAAGTTACTGCTTATAAAAGCCACACTCCTAGAAGTCCCCGTCCACTGGAGAGTCTTTCTCTCCCTAGCAGCTTCTTCCTGCTTTTATAAACTTGCAGAGGGAGGAAGAGTGGATCTCCTAACTTTCTGAGCCTTGTACATTTCATTTACTGACTGAATTTTCTGGATCTCTGTCCTCTGGGAAAGAATGATTCAGTTTGGTGAGGGTGATGAGACTGTTGTGGAACCCTGCTCGTGTGTGTTTACGTGTTCTGTAGTCTATCCTATTTCCCTAATTTTAGGCAGTCTACATAGATGTTGAAAGATGGTTTTCCCACTGGTTGCTGTTATACAGATAGGTATTTATACATATTTTTGTCTTTATTTTTGGTAGAAAATGATGCATCCTGTTGCCGGCAGTAATCCAGCGTTCTGTGGGCCTGGCAAACCTTCCTGCCTCGGTGAAGATGCCATGAGAGCTGCTGACCAGTTTGATATATATTCTTCCCAGCAAAGCAAATACGGCCACACAGTCAGCCACAAACCAATGGTTTGTCAGAGGCAAGACCCATTAAATGAAACACACTTGCAGCCTCCCAGTGGCAGAAACATAGAGATAAAAGATGAACTAAAGAAAAAGAAAAACCTCAATCGATCTGGTAAGCGCGGCCGGCCTTCGGGAACCACCAAGTCAGCGGGATACCGGACCAGCACAGGCAGACCCCTGGGAACTACCAAAGCAGCTGGATTTAAGACAAGTCCAGGCAGACCTTTGGGTACAACCAAAGCTGCAGGGTACAAGGTCAGCCCAGGGAGGCCTCCAGGTAGCATTAAAGCTCTGTCCCGGCTTGCAGATCTTGGCTATGGCTGTGGTACTGCTGCCTTTCCTTACCCCATGATGCATAGCAGAGTGGTCCACGGGGTGCAGGAAACCAGCGGGGAAGTCAAGCCACCCAGTGAATGAGCGAGGCAGGCAGGGGAGCCCAAGTTAGCAGTAGACTGAGGCCTTCCGAAGCTTCTTGGTTCCATTTGACTCTGCCACCTGGACTCCGGTTTGTTTTCTGTTGATCTCCCTCACTCCCCATTCCTTCCTTCCTTTTTGCTCAGAAGCTGCCTCGTGTTGACAGATAAGCTTAGGGCAGGAGTAGTACATTGAGTCTATATTGAGTCTATATTGAGTCTATATTGTACAAGGTTCAGACAACACTCAGCTAAGTCATTTTTGCTTTCCCTTTGGGCCATTCTTAGTGGATGCTTCACAGGCTAACTGGCTGCCACAGTTGACTTTCAGTTGTGAGTAAACCAGTGCAGTAAGGTTTACCTGTCGCATTCTAACTAATGAGGCAGAACAGCAACTAGTGAAGAGACCAAAGGGTGTGGCTGTGAGTTTAGAACTTCCATGAAATAAGACACAGTTTGGATGCTTTGGAATGTAAGACACACTTGCTATTTATTGATTCACATGACATTAGTTGATCATCATTCCTAAAGATTGTCTACTACTCGATAATTACAGCTTATGTTTTCCAGGTGCTTAAGAGCGTATATACCACACACTACAAACAATTCATAAACCCACACATTATATTTAATGTACAAGAAAAAGAAACCTTTAGGTCTGCATGTAACTATAATCATTCTACTTTGTCTTTCATATACTTAAATGAGTTTCAAAGTATTATATTTAAAAACATTACTATTACTCATTTATTTAGAATGTTTTTTTAGTCTCTCTGAGTAATTGTTATTATATTGCATTATTACTTAACTGCATTTTCAGGTTTATATCTACCAAAGGATACAAATTGAGTGATAGAATGCAAAACTGGTCTAAAAATAGTCTCCTGGCTGTCAAGACCCAAATACCAAGAGATGTAAGAACTGAGTATTTGTGAACCTGAGTGCTGGTTAGCTTAAAAATGGCATTGTGGCTCCCAAAAGAAATCTCCTCTCCCTAGGGAGACTTGCTTTAAAAGCTATATAGAAAAGAGAAAAATATTGGACACATAGGTGTAATTACAGAAGAATATCTTCCTTTCTGAAATATTTCTTGTTAATATACATTTTATTTATTCTGAGTTTGTTCTAAATAAAATATTATGAACTTTAGAATTGAAAAGCTTCAGTGGGCAGTGGTGGCACACACCTTTAGTCCCAGCACTCGGGAAGCAGAGGCAGGTGGGTCTCTGAGTTTGAGAGGTGTACATAGTGATTTCTAGGACAGCCAGCACTATATAGAAACCCTCTCTTAACAAAACAGAGCAAAAGAGAATGAAAAGCTTTCACTGAACTTAAAAAATTATGTTTTTTACTTGCATTTCAAAATGCCTTTAATATTAAAATTAGATTTACAGGACTCAAAACTTTAGAAATAACCAAATTTAAAAGGACACGGACCTGTTGGTTAGGCTTGCTCTCAGTTCATGCAAACTGACTGCACGTAAATACCATGTTTTAGGCCTTTATCAGGAGACAAGCAGCAAACCTCAGGTGCCCCAGGGATAGCTGACACAAGCTGGGCTTCTGCTCTGACAATAAGAGGTGTTACACTGCATGAGAGGACAGTGGCCTCAACAGTACAAGCTTTGCACAAATTGTAGGGGACAGCGAACAATGCTGGGTAACTATACAACCAACTGTATCTTGTGGGCAGCTAAACTGCTTCAAGGGTTTCTTCTTGCAGAAGCTTAGAATATAAAACTTGTGATAGTTTACGAAGTACAGTGTAACTTCTGACACACGCAAATGCCTGCATCTTCATTCATGTCTTCATCTGGTCACTTGAGTATCCGTCACCTAGCCAGTTCTGAAGATGTTCAGCAGTTGGCTGCTTAGAAATCCTTGCACGCCTAATTAGTTCCTGAAGACAGTTGAAACGTTCTACTATAGAATAGCGCACACCACTGTCAAGGATTTGGTACGTGTTGTGTTTCAGAGTAAGTTCACTTCCCATCCTTTCAGTTTGGTGTCATGCCTGGTTTTGTGCCCTTCTGTTCCTCCTTGCCCTTTTCCCACCTCTCTCTCAGCTCTCCAGCACACCTACTCGGTGGTGCTGTGCTGTGTGTCAGAAGACGGAGTGGGTGTATTGTACAGTGAGCCTTGTATCCATGTTCATGAGATGGACACAGTTTAAGGAGAGATGTTCCTAACAGTGTTATTATTGGGAGCGTTTGTCCCAGGAAAGGGGAATGAGTGGCTACAGTTGTAGATGGATAACATCACTTAGAAAACTGAAATTACTGTTCCAGTGAGCAGTTACCTGGAATATTATACTCCACACTGGTGAACATCTGATTCTACTTTTCTCCTTGTGGACAGTTTATTAGTGCCACGCTGGAGAGACACAGATGTGATGACAGGAATGAGGTCTTCACATAGAAAATATTTTTACTTCTACATGGTCGATCTAAAGACTGCATTCTGCATCTTTTGTAACACGACAGACACTGAAATAGCATGTTAAACAGTTGCCTAGATGTCAGTATATTCAGTTGGGGAAAACTGCCCTTCCCCCCACTGCATAATTGTTCCGTAAAAGGTAAATTGCTAATTTTATACTGCGTGATTCTATTCTTCATAAAATAGGTTTCACTATTCTATATTAAAACTGTTTGTCAGAAAATGATCTACTATTCCAGTAAGTTGTTTTACTTTTTTCTTAAAAGGATATTTTAACATGCTGTATTTATTATTGTTATAACAAAAAAGGAGTCGATACAGATAAAATTTCATTTTCCACAGGTATCACTTTGCCTAACTAATCTTTAGTATGGGGTGATTTTGATACTATCTTTGGAGTTTTGCACTGGATATTAAAAAAATATATTGGCACAATATATTGAAAAATTAAGTAGTATTTGATTTAATTTTTAATATCTGGGAACATTTTTTTAAAATCAGTGTTTAAATCAGACTAATAATTCTTTGTATTTTTAATTTACTTTTTAAAAAGAAACATCTGTCAATGTGGTATTTATTCATTCCAAACTGCTGTTTGTGTGAATTTACATATGTGTTTTCATGAAATAAGAATACTGAGTTTCTTTGAGGTAAAATCTGGATCCATTTAATTTGAGGTTAAGGGCACTTCATCCAGTGTAAGAATGACCACAGTGTGAGTTTAGACAGTGAACTTCTTTCAAAAGCAGTTCAGGGGGTGTGGTGTTGGTAACCCCTCTGTCATCCCTTGGCTGTATGCAGTAAGCTTTTATGGTCCGTTAGTCAGATTGTAACTCAAAAAGGTCTGAATTTTTCCTTTGCTTTTCTCCCTTTACCTCCAAGTAGACAAATCTGTGCTTTCACTTGTAGTGTTTAAGTTTTTGAGAATTAGTGCTGTAGCAAGTCAGTTCTATGATTTAATCAGGCCATTCTGATTCTTTGATTCACAATTTGCTTTTTCCACAGACAATTATGAAGCAAATAATTAACACTTAACTGATAATAAGCACGTTGTCCTCTGCTGTAAAGTCTGAATAGATACTGTGTATGTTTTAATCAGTGTCCATGAACTTGAGCTACTCGTGTGCAATTATGTGTATGGGAATGGAGTAGTGTTCATGATTTGTATCTGCATCATCATACGGATGTATATTTATTAATAAAGTCATCACTTTAAGCCAACTGTGGACTGCTTTATTTCTTCCTATTGTTCTGTAGATGGTGGTGTGAGGTCACATGCGTGCCACAGCCTGCGTGTGGCTGTCAGAAGATGACCTCACTCCACTCTGGGTGCTGAGAGCAGGCGCAGGCGGTCAGGTTCTGTGGAGCCTCACTCACTGAGCCTTCTCTCATTTGTCAGCACAGCAGAGAAGCTGCTCATGCTGAACCTTATCATGACTTGGTGGTGGGATACTTTTTTGGAATTTTGCATTCTAATTCTGCCTCTTTTTACTGATTTTTTAAAATATATGGTACATTTCATATATAATATATATATAATCATATAATATATATATTATATATAAATATATATAAATTATATAATTTATATATAATACATATAAAATATATATAATATATATATAATTCATTGGGTTTCCTTTATTGGAGCTGGAGAGAAATGACTCAGTGGTTTCATTAAAAATAAATTTATATAATACATATATAATTTTTTTGTGCTAGGGTTTCTCTGTGTAACAGCCCTAGCTGTCTTGGAATGCTGTCTGTAGACCAAGCTGACTTTGAACTCACAGAGATCTGCCTGCCTCTGCCTCCTGAGTGCTGGGATCAAAAGAGTGCACCACCACTGCTGTGGAATAATCCTTCTGTACACTGTGAATATATATTACTCTCACTGGTTAATGTTGAAGCTGATTTGGCCTATAGCAAGGCAGGATAAAGTCAAACAGGATACTGGGATGAAGATGGACAGAGAATTTAAGTGTAAGAATTAGCTACTAACAAGCCTGAAGTATTGACCCAGCATTTGTAATTTATATTAAATTGCCAAGTCAGTTACTTGGGAATCTGCTGCCTGTTACTTGGGAACAGGCGATTGAGACAGGAAAACTCAGCCTACACCCCACCACCTGGCTGTTGTATTTTTATTTATTGTGCTGGTGTGGGGGAGGGGTCATGTGTGTAACTTGTGGACAGCTTGTGGAAATTGGTTACACTGGGTGGTTTCTGGAGACCCACTCGAGGTCAGGCCTGGCAGCATCTTCCTCCATAAGCCATCTCCCCAACCTTGCTTTATACATTTTGATACTGCAGTCTTTCAAAATCCATGTCACCTGTTGTATGTTTTTCTGTTTGTGTTTTTATTCTTAAGGATTTCCCTTACTTGCTTTTGCTAGCAAATATACATATTTAGAATGTATTTTGGGGGAGCTGGAGAGATGGCACAGAGGTTAAGAGCACTGGCTGCTCTTCCAGAGGCCCTGAGTCCAATTCCCAGCAACCACATGGTGGCTCACAACCATCTACAATGAAATCTCGTGCCTTCTTCTGGACTGTATGATGGGGAATGTACTGTGTATGTTTATCTTATTGATTGTTAAATAAAATACTGTTTGGCCAATGAGACAGCAAGTTAGACAGGACTAAGAGCCAAGAGGATTCTGGGAAATGTAGTAGAGAAGTGCTGATCCAGGCAGGAAGTGACATAGCAAGGAGACTCATTTAAGCGAAGGAGAAACAGGAAGTGTCCTTTTTTCCCCTTCGCTCCTGCTCCAGCGGCAGCAAGTGATCCACCGGCAAGGAGGGACGCCAATAAGGCGTCCGATAAGATTTTATAAAATATATAGATTTATGATAATTAAGACTGAGCTAACAGATGAGAATCCTAGTCATTGGCCAAGCAGCTTTGACCCTAATACAAGTTTCTGTGTATTCATTTGGGCCCTAACTCGGGTGGGCAGTGGGTGTAAAGCTCACATGTGGTGGTGGGGTTCAGGCGGCTTTTGGCAGAAAGATTTATTGTAACACCTGTAGGCAGACTTGCAGGCAGAACACTGTACACATAATAAGTAAATAAGTATTAAAAAACTAAAAATAATGTATTTTGGTTCTATTCATGCCTCATCCTTTGTTGGCCCCTCCTCCAGTCCCTTCCTCTTCTGAGCAGCTCCTGTTATGTCAGTTTTGGTTACACAAGAGTCTCAGTAGGGTCACTTTGAACATAGGCACTGTTATTCTTTTGTTTAAAAAGAAGAGAAATGCTGAGACATGAGACATATTGACTATATTTATTATAAGGCCTGGCAGAATGGGGAGATTAAGAAGAGGAACAGGGGTAAGTGGCTGACGGCCATGGTCGGTCGCCATAGAGAGGCAGAGAGAGAGCATAGGTGGGAGACAGAGTAAAGAGAAAGCAGAGACAAAACAGATCGGGGAAACAGAGAGGAAACAGCGTAAATGGGTAGGGACCTGTCTTTTAAAGGGGTCCTCTGTATCTGTGTGCAGACTTAGTTCCCATGGAACCTTGGGCTGACCAGGATACTGCCTGTTCCACCAGATAACAGGGGCAGGCCAGCATAATGCCTGAACCTTTCAGGCATCTTATCACTGGCACACTGCTAAAGAGGATTTCTTCCTCCTCCAGCAGCCTCTGACTGTCTGAAGTCCTCAGGGAGGAGCCGGGCTTCGTGAGCTCTTTCTCTTGCAGGGCTGCAGTTACTTGGAGTTCAAGTGCAATGGCCGTGTGTCTGGTAGTGTAACACGAGAAATAAGAGGACCCAGAGACTGGCATTCAAACTTCAAGCTGAAGATCAGAAAAGCAAAGCAGCTGACCACTAGCTCTTACCTCAGGCTCAGGCTGAAAGGGCTGATCCTGTCTCAACGATCTCTCACCAAGCCTCAGACTGTAACCTCTCCTCAGTTGGAGAATGAATGCCTCCTACTCTTTGCTCCTGTCTTTTATACTCTTCTAGTGCTGGGATCAAAGGTGTGAGCTATAATTCTCTTTTAGATTGATTCACTCCTGTGCAGATCTGGGTGGCCTTGGATTCATAGAGATCAGTCTACCTCTTAATCCTGAGTCCTAGGATTAAAGGTGTGCACCACCACCTCCTAGCTTCTGGCTGCTGGGATTAAAGCTGTGTGCCTGGCTTCAATGGCCTGTGACTGATTTTGCATTCTGAGTCCTCAGGCAGGCTTTAATAAATCATAATAATTATCACCATATGGCAGAGTCCCACATTCCACCCCATCACCTGGCTCTTTACATTCTCTGCACCTTCCGCTGTGTTCCTAACCATTAGAGGGAGTGATAGATGCGTCCTTGTCCTGGGGTTTCTGTTACTGTGGTGATACACCGGAAGTATTCTGAGGCGGGAAGGATTTGTTTGGGTTACACTGTTCATCAAAGGCAGTAGTCTGGTGGAGCATGGAGACAGAAGCCCTGGAAGAATGCTCCTTGCTGGCCTGCCCCTTCCTCGTGGCTGGCTTGCTCAGCCCAGGCATGGCCCCACCCACAATGGGCGGGGCCCTTCCCTATCAGTTACTAGCAGGCCTGCCCTAAGCAGGCGTTTTCCGAATTGAGGTGAGTGAATATGGAAACTCGACAGGACAGTTGGATGTGTGGCTGAGCCTCTGACTGATTACTTGCTGTGGCTGTGATAAAATGTCCTAACAATCAAGCTAGGGAAGAAAGGGTTTATTTTGGCTTTCAGTTCAGAGGAGATAGAGTCCACTATGGTGGGAACAGCATTACAGCAGGGGTTGGGAAGGAGAGTGAGCAGGAAGTGGGACCAGGCTATGCAACCTCAAAGCCTGCCTCCTAAATGTTCCTAACCTATGAATCTGTGCCATCAGCTAGGGACCAAGAGTTCACTCATGGAAGATACTTTATATTCAAATCACACCAGTATCCAAGAGTCACTTATTTTCCTAACTTTGACTTGGAAATTCCTAACAACCCAACGGCGATAAAGACCAGACACAGGCATCTTGTCATCTTTAGAGAGTTCTCAGTTCCATGCTGCAAAACTGGAGTCACTCCTTTATTTAGCATGGCTGTAATCTAACCATTCTTCCCTGACCCCAGACCATTTTTCTCCCATCTTCCTAGACCCTATCAGAGATCTCTCTCAACCGTCCGTCCTCCTGTAGACCTCTCTGCCAAATGCCTCCTCCCCTCTGTCCTCCCCTATCAGGTAGACCTCGCCCTCTGCCCTGGTGCAGGCCTATTCAAATGCTTAGTTCTGTAGAGATGCAAAACTAGGGGACCTTCTCCACTGAGGCTATGCCATTCAACAGTAAATCAGCTAGCATCTGCAATACAATGCAGACCAGAGTATGGGCCCCCTCCCCCCCCCCGAGAGAAATCCTCTAATGGAAGAATTTTACTCGGCTCCCGAAACACATAAATAAACTAGAAAACAAAATGAGTACATTGAGTCAGTTTTATCAAAACAAAGTGATAAAATTGGAAAAATTTAGTGAATACATTCCACAGCATTTATTAAATGAATTCACATTTCTTTAAGGGTCTTCCATTGCAAAATGAAATGATCTGGTTATTTATAAAACAAAAGGTGGTAAATTCACATTTTTGTGTTTTGTTTTGCTGTGAACATGCTAGGTAAGTGCTCTATCACTCGAATCAGAAACCCAACCTAATAGTAATTATTTGTCAGTTTCTGCTGGGTATGTTGCTTGTTAGACCCCCGGAAAACTCAAGTATCCGGGGTCCTAGGCTGAGACTTCAGTCACCCCAATCACCAGGTGGATCCGAGAGCTTGATGCAAACTGCACGAGGCTTTATTGTAATTTAACGAGCTAACCCCATGTTATCTCGGGTCTTTCACCCACCCGCCATGGTGGATGGCCAGCAAAAGACAGCTCCTAGGGCCTCCCAAGAGATCTTATAGGACAGTGTAAGGGGAGTGTCTAGGGGTACGCACAGGCTCAGGACTGGTGTGCCTCCAGGCTTGGAGGGCTTGCCCTGTGTTGATTGGTCAACTGGTTGTTATGGCCCATAGGCCCTCCCAGGGTGGTTGCTATGCTCTGCGCATCATTGCTGTGTGCTTGTCTGTAAAGCACACCCAGGGTCGGGTCGTAAAGCATAGCGCCACCAGCTAACTTCTGATGGGTTCCTTGTCACGAGACAGGCATCTGACTTTCTAGTGACTGACTAACTTCTGATTGGTTCCTTGTCACAAGGCAGGCATCTGACCTCT